TTTATGCTGCAACAGGCCAACACAGATACTTCTTTGAAAATACATCCATGGTATGCATGGGACTGCATTATATGGGTCTACATTGACCATATGATGCACTTTCAAACTACATTATATGACAGTGTTGATGGGGCCAAGGAGAGGCAATTCCAGAAACAGGAACAAATTAATTCAAGATCAAATCTAGCTTTCCAGTTGTTGGTAGAGCAATAATTACTATCGCTCTCAAACACAGCCCATGGTTGCTGGAGCTCATGAGAACTGAAGTCCCAGATTCACTGGCATAGATGGATGAGCTCATTATTGTTGACTTGACTCAAAGACTAGACTGAACACAATGGTCTCAGATGGAGATAATACACCAAATCCTCCATGCACCTCTCACAGCTTTGAAACCCAACACATGTTTTTGGTGTTCTTTGCTAGACAACTTTCTTCCCAACCTAAGAAGGATGCCATTGCCATCACCACTGTTCTCTCACCCCATTAGCAGCTCCTTGATTTAATTTAGGCCATCAAAGAAGGAGTAGAAAAGAAGAGTAATGGTTTGAAGTCTATTTTCCTTCCCTTTTCCTCTGCTTCCCCCTGCTTTTAACTACAGAGACTAGCAGTGAAACTACAAAGAGAAAGGAAAGAAAATAGCCAGCGGCCTAATTTTCAGCTTTCGCTATGCCTGATGGAATAAAAGTGAGGTGCTCCTAGGAAGGTAAGTGACCGGCAATAGCAGCAGCAGTTTCATTCCTTCCAGCGAATACACAACAAAGCACTAAAATCTTTGACGGGAAGCTTGTAGGCCCAGTGCAGAAAGCAGGAGGGAGAGACAAACTAAAAAACCAAGGCTATTGGCAGATGCAGGCATGTAGCCGGGGGGGGGGGGGCTTGAGGGGCTTCAGCCCCCCCCCCCAAATTCTCATGGTGGTTCACGAAAAAGCCTTACTGGTGCATTATTTAAACTGTTATGTTTATTCATATCATGATCTGATCACCATACTCAATATATCCCATATGCATGGGGGTATTGGGGTAATGATACAAAAGGTTTGCTAGGCTAGACCCTCTTTCACTCAGACTCAGCCCCCCGAAACTCAGCCCCCCCCCCGAAACCCCCCCTGAAAATTTTTTAGCCCCCCCCCCCCCCCGAAACGAAATCCTGGCTACGGGCCTGCATATGTATGAATTGTAACATTTACGTATTTTAGAAGTTATACTGGCTAAACTGAGTTGAAGATAAGATCCAATCCACAGAACAGAACAGGATTAAAAATGGTGAATTAGGGCTGGACATTTGCCTTTCTGATTACCTGAAAGTGCTTGGGCATTTTTCAATGTTTAGCTAGAACCCTTGAGAAGACCCAAAGAGCACCTTCAGCTAACTCTGCCTGTGTTCCCCTTGGCAACTTTCCTCCCCTCTAGTTCTCCCTCCCGCTCCTTTTCCAAAGTAAGGGATTTTTTTCCTAGTAAAAAGGAAATAGAAGACAGAAGTGGGCACTCCAAGGGTTTATGAGCAGTTAAGACAGGAGCAGTTCACAGCAGGCAACTACTGTGTTGTTTTTACTCAGAAGAACTCAAAAGAGGGAAATTAACACAGTTGGTTAAAGGATCAAACTCTCAACCGATCCTTATTTATATTTAATAAATATATATATACTGACAGTCTATATCCCATCAGATATTGAGTTCTATGAGCCCCAGTAAAATAGTCAGTGGTCTGGGATGGTGGGAGTTGTACTCCAAAACCTGGAGGACCATAGGTTGCTAAACCCATGTTAAAATGCCCACATATAGCTTACAGTACCCGAAGTATGTACACTCTTTCAAGGGGCATGGAGCTTTCTTATGAAATAACATCTTTCTTGTTTCAGAGCTGGTGAACTGAGGGATATGAATATCTTTGTGATACTTTTTGGAAGAGTTAGGCAATGTAGTTTATCTTAGACAACCTCTTAATCTGCAATACTAGGATAACCGTATAAACCTATTTTACGGAGTGGCTGTATGGTGTTACAGGTTTCACAGAATGATGTGTGTGAACCACTTTTAACACTCAGACTTAACCACACTGCTCCCAAAGCATGTACTCACCCTGAATGGACTGCTGGCTGCCCCTACAGTGTCTTCCAGTGAGTATCATGGGTTTTTTTTCCACTTTAAACTAACTTTGCCCTGCATTTGGCACTGCCACCATTACCATTTCTCTGTGCTGATCAGTGCAAGGAATGGGGATGAATCACGCTGCTGCCACTGCTAGTTCCTGGCTGTCATGTATACCTCCTTCTTGCTCGTTGTGTGGGCTTCAGAAGAGCCACCCGCAATGGCCAAGAGCTCAAACAGAGCTCTGTGGCTGGCAAGGAGTGGTAACTATGTCAACTCAAAAGAAGTGATAGTCCAGTGTGTGAGGGGGTCATGGTCCTGGGCCTCTTGGACAACGGCCCTGGATTCAGCACGTAAGTCCAGAACTGATTCACACCAAGCTAAACGGACTACTTTAGCTGAGCCCTCAAAAGCAGTTTACATGTTATTGTTCCTGAATTGATCTTGACATGAATCAAATGGAAACCTTTTGTGGACCAAAATCCCATGATTGAGGAGTCACTGAATATAGCCACTCATCCAGTTCTTCAGTTGTTGATCACCTGCATGCTGAAAATGAGATTGCCTGCCTGGGGCCACTTCAAACATGTTGCTATTTCTCTAATGAAAAATTTATTCCATATCAGACTACTGATTCTGGAAAGATTTCAGTACTCCTTAATTAAGTCACTGCAGAATCTCAGAGAGAGAGAGAGAGAGAGAGAGAGAGAGTATGTGTTTTATTTAATTGTATGGTAAAATAATTATCCTCTGCTTTTCTTCTCTCTCCAAACAGTCTCCTTTGGCTCAAATCCAGTTCCAACAGTGTAGTCTGCAATCTGTACATCACTTTAGTCCCATCTATGTCCTTGGGTTAATTTAGTGGTACTTAGGCAAGTTAAAAAAACTCAAATAGTGCAGGAATGTTTGGGGCTGCAAGCTACAGACAAATAGTAATTGGACACAGTGATTGATAGAAAAATGTGCAATGCAATCTGCAGCTCTGTTTGAACGTCTCCTGGTTTAGATTCTGTGAGTGACTGTGACCAGATCTTTTTTTCCCCATTGTCAGCAGACGTTGCTTCTGATGTATGTTTTTGTCATTGTTTCTGATGTATGTTATAAGGCCAATATTCATAAATGGTACTACTATGGTACATAAATCACCACTCACTTTTGTACTGACAGCTGACTCTCATATGAAGAGCAGTGCAAGCATTAACTTTTAGCCAGCTTAACTAAGACTTAACAAAGTGAGTTGAATGCCAGTATGAATATACAGTTTTTCTTGCTTCTCAGTGACTTGCTATTTTGATTGATTTGAATTATTTATTTATTTATTTATTTATTTTATTTGCTGCATTTGTTGACCGCCGCTCTCAGCCCTGGGGCAATTCGCGGCGGTGTACAACATATAAAAACAGTTTACAATAAAGCACAACAAGAAATCAACATATCAATATTACACACTAATCTAAATTACACTAACTAATCCGCGCCGTCACAACATAGAATCATAGCCAATCTCATAATCCATATTCCGTTCCAGATGTCATTACCAGTTAATGTAGCACTCAGTTAAATGCCTTCTCAAATAGCCAGGTCTTTAGGCTCTTACGGAAAGCCATAAGGGAGGGCGCCTGTCTGATGTCAACAGGGAGGGTGTTCCACAGCCGGGGGGCCACCACCGAGAAGGCCCTCTCTCTCGTCCCCGCCAGGCGTGCCTGTGAGGCAGGCGGCATCGAGAGAAGGGCCTCCCCAGACAATCTCAAGGCCCTTGTGGGCTCATAGGCCGAGATGCGGTCCGAAAGGTATTTTGGGCCGGAACCGTTTAGGGCTTTGTAGGATAACACCAGCACCTTGAATTGGGCCCGGTAGCAGATCGGCAGCCAGTGGAGCTGGGACAACAAGGGCGTCCCAGAAGCCACATATTCAACAAGCGGTCCACTCTTTCACCTTGTTTACATTTTGTGACCATGTGCTGCTTTCCCTCCTTGATGCAGGGGGGTATAAGCTAATACGAACTTCAGCTACCATAGTGTCAACAACCACATCTAAATTGTTATAGTTGAACTCTCAGATTGCTTTTGATACTCTTTAAAACTTTGATCAGATGGAGCCATCATGATTCACTGGGTATGTTGCTCAGAAAAACATTTCCATGTTTTTGTAGATTAATCACATGAGTTACACCTGGATATTCAAAACATGTAAATTACCATCTAAAAATAGGAAAATAGCATCAGTAACTGTTTTGGCAATGAATCAAAAATTCATCCGCTGCTCTGGGATGGATTTGTGCAGAGTACACCTATTGCCTGTATTTTAATCTAGACTTTGCAGTCAATGAATAATAACAAACAAACCTGTTTTTTTTAGTCCCATCATTCATACTTGGAGATAGAAATCCATCAAACCATCATTTAGATTTTGGTTTAAGTTTTCAGTGACAAGGGATAAGGTTCAAGGTTCAAAACTTTGGATTGCTTCTTTAGGTGCAAACTAAACCCCAACCCGGACCTCCATTCAACTAACACAGCATCACAACAATTAAGAAAAGTATGAAAAAACTGATTGTAAGCCGTGTTACAGCAATATGAAAATTAGGAAACTATGTTCATGGTCACTAGGTTATTTTAAGCTAGCAAAGTATGCAGTTTTATATAGCTAAGTATAATGGTTTTCCATTGAAAAAAATCCCTGATAGAATGCTTTTTGGTTTTTGTTTTTCTTTAGTTTGCAGGTATGATTTTTTAAATGTAGTTGTAGAGACAAGAACTGATATATATATATACAATCAAAAGCACATAATGGAAAATTGGGTTTGAAAAGAAATGAAGGGAAAAAAGGCACAATGCTAGCAAACCAAAGCAGCTGCCATGACAAAGGTGAGAAGGTCTATAAATCTCTGTGTACAAATTGTAAATTACCTTGTTTGTTGTTCATTAAATCCACCAACTTTTCCTCTCCAGTTACAAAATCACTTGTTTCATACTCCAGCTCTGTTTCAGTATCACTGCTACTGCTAGCAGAATAAGTGCACACTCTCAGTGCCCTGTCCTAGAAGACGCAACAAAAAGGACAAATTGAATACCAGAAAACATTTCAGTGAATGCAAATGCAGAGTGCAGTGCAGTACAACAGGCAAACTGTTTTGTCTCCTTTATACAGATCATGATTTATTACACTGCTTCAATTTACCATTGATTATTCAATTAAATATTACACATTCCTGAAAATAGATTTCATCCTCCAGTTAGCATTGTTCAGACACAATCTAAGTATTAATATCCATTTTCTAAAGAGATTCTTAGTGCTTTCTCCAGTTTAGCTATATTGACATTTTGTTACTTTATCACTTAGCTCAACATTAATGTAATATTCAGACTGGGGCGAAGTTTTAAGAGAGCAATTGATTTGATGCAGAGAGAACAGGGTTAAAATGTTTAACTTATCATGAGTGGTGAAGTTTTAGTTACTATCAAACTTCATCCAAGTAGAATTGGATCACAATTTCCAATATACCAAGTGTGGTGAAATGTTAAGAAAATACTATGCTTTATCTAAAGCAGTGGTTCCCAACTTTTTTATTATTTTTATTTTTTACCAGGGACCACTTTGACCAGGGACCATTTTGACCTGGGACCACTCTCCAACATTAGTAACAAAAGGGTTACGAA